CCGACCTGGCTCTTCCCAATCCAACCTGTTCTGACTCATCCCATCCCATCCCCTCCCTTACCTGACCCAACCCCTCAGGCCATGACCAGATCCAATCCACCTTGTCTCTGCCCCGGCTCTATCCTCACCTCAACCTGTCCCATCCCATCCTGATCCATCTTGTCCTATCCAGAACGCATCCCATTCCATCCTGTCCCACCATGGTTCAGCTCGTCCCGCTCAGCACCAGTCGCTCTGCGGTTCTTGGAGGTGGGTGCTGGTGCTGCCCAAAACTGTGGGACCCCCCTTACTGTGGGACCCAAAACTGTGGGACTCTCCCCTTAGTTGCAAGGTTTTTCTCATGCAGTGTTTTCCACAGGAAGCCACTTCCCATATTTTATGCTAAAATCTTTTCTCCTTCCCTTACCTGACCCAACCCCTCAGGCCATGACCAGATCCAATCCACCTTGTCTCTGCCCCGGCTCTATCCTCACCTCAACCTGTCCCATCCCATCCTGATCCATCTTGTCCTATCCAGAACGCATCCCATTCCATCCTGTCCCACCATGGTTCAGCTCGTCCCGCTCAGCACCAGTCGCTCTGCAGTTCTTGGAGGTGGGTGCTGGTGCTGACCAAAACTGTGGGACCTTCAGCCCCTTCCCCGGACCCACCAGCCCTTCAGCACTTTCCTCAGATCCATTTTTATTCCCTATCACCCTTCATCTTTCCTGACCGCTTTCCTGGCCTCTCCCCTTAGTTGCAAGGTTTTTCTCATGTAGTGTTTTCCACAGGGAGCCACTTCCCATATTTTATGCTAAAATCTTTTCTCCTTCCCAGCCTGCCCGCACGGAGCTCCTTGTTCTCTCGCCAGGCCTTGGGCTGATGCATTTTTGATGCCGAATAAGTCTCTTGGTGCAGCAGTCTTTGCACACAGTGTCACTTGCTGCGTAACGTGGTGACAGCAGCCGAGCAGTGAAATGACTGCGCTGAGCACCATGCCAGGAGCTCCTGACTCACTTGGGGATGGCAACACGGAGCCCTGTCATTCCCGTGTGTCCCCAGTCCCATGTGTCCCCTGCCCTGTGACACGGGATGTTGCATCTCTCTCTTCCGTGTGCCCCAGATCCTGCCCCATCCCCGCTCCTGCTCGGGCAAAGGGACTCGGGGATCCCAGGCTCATTCCTGTGTGTGCTGCTTGTTGCAGCTCCACTTGGGGTGACAGGGAGGGGGACAGGGTCCTGTGTCCGCCACGAGGGGCGATTCGAGGTGCAGCAGCGAGGAACAGATGAGAGAAAGGAGAAAAAGACAAAGATTCATTTGTGTGGTGAATGGTGTGTCACCACCTCGAGCCCTGTCACCCCCAGACTCCTGTCACCACCCACAGTACTGTCACCCACAGTGAACTGTCACCCCTCCCAGAGCTGTTAGCCTGAGAGCCCTGTCACCTCCCCCAGAGCCCTGTTACCCCCAGTGTCCTGTCACCTCCACAGCCCTGTGACCCCCTCTAGAGTCCTGCCATCTCCAGAGCCCTGTCACTACCCCTAGAGCGCTGTCACCTCTGGAGCCCTGTCACCACCCCTAGAGCAGTCACCTTCCAGAGCCCTGTCACCCCCCAGAGCCCTGTCACTCCTAAAATCCTGTCACCCCCAGAGCCCTATGAGCCCCCAGAGCCCTGCCAGCCCTCTAGATGTCACCCCTGAGCCCAGTCACCCCCCCCCGAGCCCTGTCACCCCCTCATTGCCCTGTCACCTCCCGAGCCCTGTCACCCTCGGAGCCCTGTCAGTCCCCTAGATGTCACCCCCAGAGCTTTGGCACCCCTCAAGCCGTCACCCCCGCACTGCTCT